TAATATTTTTTCCAGGGGCCCTGATAGAGCTGAGCCTGAGACATGTATCAGCAGGAGGGATGAGAAAGAGGCTTGCTGACATTTTCACACCCAACTTCAGAGGGAAGACTCCACAAGCCCCTTTTGGAGGTGGCGCCCTCTCTACCCCAGTATCGCAGCCCCCTTCCTTTCCATTTCATTTAACGTCAGACCCTTTCTACTCCATTATGGAGATGGATTCTCTGCGATTTCTCAGGCACCTTTCTGTAGAGTAATATCCCTTTAAGTAGTGTGAGCCCTACAGTGAGCCTCCTATGTCCTATTGCAGAAGCCACCGGAACAGCGGCGTATGTCTGGAGCTAGGCTTTGGTTGCTTGTAGATAGTTAGGGAACATCATTCTTTGGAACCCAGCCATGTCTATGAGGTTTCCTCAGATTCTTAACGTTGTGCAGAGAGCCAGGATGTAGCTCTTTTAATTGAAGCACAGATCAGTTCTCTAGGAGGGGGTGGTACTTAGAAGCAAAGGGATTTGCTATGTACCAATGAGGGGAAGCTGCTGCAGCCTCCTGAGCACTCTCCACTTGTTCTGAAGTCAATGGCAGTTGAGGGGGCTCAGTAGCTTGCAGCATTGTTCTTATAGTGAGAGTATAGAATATGGTGATACCACTAGCTCCTGGCTACCTGCTGCCCAGATACCCCAGCTGATGAGATGATGTCTCTCTTCATTCCTATTCCTTTGTCCCCTGACCCAGAGAAATAAGCTGTATAAACTATCATGCTTCAGTGTATAAATCAGCTAGCTAACCACCTGGTGTTAGGAAGAAATTTCCCCTTAAGGACAGATTATTCTATAACTTTCCACTAGGGGTATTTTCCCTATAGAACTTAATGGGGCTTGATAGACATTTCTCTAAAAAAAACCCCACAAACCTAGAGAGTTATATTAAGAACATAGTCGAGTTCTTTTCTACAGGTTATTTGAACCACCCTGTAAAATTCTATAGTGGGGAAAATAAATTTCAATTCCGTAGGAAAGTTCAAAAAAAAAAATGTGAGCATGCATGTGCATAAATAAAATTTTCTACCAAATTTTCTGTAGGGGGCTGCATCTTCCTCTGAAAAATGTAGTATGGGACACTGTCAGAAACAGGACCCTGGATTAAATGGACCCTGGGTCTCAGTCCTTATCTTCAAGTGCTTCATGGCTTGGGCCCCTGGCCCAGAGTAACAAAAAGATCATATAAAGCTCTGGGACAAAGACCACGGTCAACAGATGTGCTACTCTGGCACAATGGAACTCTCTAGAATAAGAGTAAAGCTTGTCTGGGCAGGAGACAGAACTTCTCCAGAGGTAGCCGGAGACTGTGGAATTCACTCCCCCAAGAACTAAAGACTATCATAAACTTCATCATCTTCCACTCAGTGTGCGAGGGGCAGTTCTTTGACCTTGCTTTCTTGAATACAGCAACACATAGCAACAAATATATTTATAATAAAAATACTACCTTACTGAAAAAAGACACTCCTCTACACACGCTTTTCCCTCTGAGGAGAGGATGAGAGAAACAACATGTGACAGATGTGTAGTCATGTTGCTTAATGCTTACAAGAAGTGGAAGATTGGACAAATGACCAGGGAGGAGAATAAAAATATTGCTCAGGCATGCAGGAGTGAAATCAGGAAGGCCAAATCACACTTGGAGTTGCAGCTAGCAAGAGATGTTAAGAGTAACAGGAAGGGTTTCTTCAGGTATGTTAGCAACAAGAAGAAGGTCAAGGAAAGCGTGGGCCCCTTACTGAATGAGGAAGGCAACCTAGTGGAAAAAGCTAATGTACTCAATGCTTTTTTTGCCTCTGTCTTCACGAACAAGGTCAGCTCCCAGACTACTGCACTGGACAGCACAGTTTGGGGAGGAGGTCACCAGCCCTCTGTGGAGAAGGAAGTGGTTCAGGACTATTTAGAAAAGCTGGACCAGCACAAGTCCATGGGGCTGGATGTGCTGCATCCGAGGGTGCTAAAGGAGTTGGCAGATGTGATTGAAGAGCCATTGGCCATTATCTTTGAAAACTCATGGCGATTGGGGGAGGTCCCGCATGACTGGAAAAAGGCTAATGTAGTCCCCATCTTTAAAAAAGGGAAAGAGGAGGATCTGGGGAAATACAGGCCAGTCAGCCTCACCTCAGTCCTTGGAAAAATCATGGAGCAGGTCCTCAAGGAATCAATTCTGAAGCACTTAGAGGAGAGAAAAGTGATCAGGAAAAGTCAGCATGGATTCACCAAGGGCAAGTCATGCCTGGCTAACCTAAATGCCTTCTATGATGAGATAACTGGCTCTGTGGATGAGGGGAAAGCAGGGGACATGTTATTCTTTGACTTTAACAAAGCTTTTGATACAGTCTCTCACAGTATCCTTGCCAGCAAGTTAAAGAAGTATGGGCTGGATGAATGGACTATAAGGTGGATAGAAATCTGGCTAGATCGTCAGTCTCAACAAGTAGTGATCAATGGCTCCATGTCTAGTTGGCAGCCGGTATCAAGCGGAGTGCTCCAAGGGTCGGTCCTGGGGCCGAGGTTTTGTTCAATATCTTCATTAATGATATGGAGGATGGCATGGACTGCACCCTCAGCAGATGACACTAAACTGGGAGGAGTGGTAGATACGCTGGAAGATAGGGATAGGATATAGAGGACCTAGACAAATTAGAGGATTGGGCCAAAAGAAACGTGATGAGGTTCAACAAGGACAAGTGCAGAGTCCTTCACTTAGGACAGGAGAATCCCATGCACTGCTACAGACTAGGGACCGAGTGGCTAGGCAGCAGTTCTGCAGAAAAGGACCTAGGGGTCACAGTGGACGAGAAACTGGATATGAGTCAACGGTGTGCCCTTGTTGCCAAGAAGGCTAATGGCATTTTGGGCTGTATAAGTAGGAGCATTGCTAGCAGATCGAGGGACGTGATCATTCCCCTCTATTCGGCATTGGTGAGGCCTCATCTGGAGTACTGTGTCCAGTTTTGGGCCCCACACTACAAGAAGGATGTGAAAAAATTGGAAAGAGTCCAGCGGAGGGCAACAAAAATGATTAGGGGGCTGGAGCATATGATTTATGAGGAGAGGCTGAGGGAACTGGGATTATTTAGTCTGCAGAAGAGAAGAATGAGGGGGGATTTGATAGCTGCTTTCAACTACCTGAAAGGGGGTTCCAAAGAGGATGGATCTAGACTGTTCTCAGTGGTATCAGGTGACAGAACAAGGAGTAATGGTCTCAAGTTGCAGTGGGGGAGGTTTAGGTTGGATATTAGGAAAAACTTTTTCACTAGGAGGGTGGTGAAGCACTGGAATCGATTATCTAGGGAGGTGGTGGAATCTCCTTCCTTAGAAGTTTTTAAGGTCAGGCTTGACAAAGCCCTGGCTGGGATGATTTAGTTGGTGATTGGTCCTGCTTTGAGCAGGGGGTTGAATTAGATGACCTCCTGAGGTCCCTTCCAACCCTGATATTCTATGGTTCTGATATTCTAATCCGGCGCCGGCTCCAGGCTCCAGCCCACCAAGCATGTGCTTGGGGTGGCGCCTGGAGGGGGGCGGCGCGGCGGGGCCCCGGCCGGGCTCGCCGCCCTCCCCCCGGCGCTCAGGCCGGTCGGGGAGAGCGGAGAGCCGCAGCGGGCTCGCCGCCGGGGAGAGTGGAGAGTCCCGGCCGGGCTCGCTGCCCTCCCCCCGGCGCTCTGGCCGCCGGGGAGAGCGGAGAGCCCCGGCCGGGCTCGCCGCCCTCCCCCCGGCGCTCTGGCCGCCAGGGGCT